TATTATATGACGGAAGCTTCCCTAAAAAATGAGTCATATTACTACAAATTCAGTCTAATAAAAACTATGCGAAGAGAGTACTTTTTAAATTATAGGAATATAAAAACTACATAAACTATACAATAGTAAATAATTGATAGAACATATATTATTTTATATCTATACATTTTACATTTCTTTGCGAATTCATTTTACGCTTCTTTGCGAAACATAAAAAAATGATAGCACAATATTGAAAAGAATAAAAATACAAATTTAGTCCGTAGCAGTCTCATGCTATTTATCACTGTCATACACTCTGCCGAGATTGATAATCAATTGCGATAAAAACTTATTACCGCACGGCGTATGTTGGCATATTCTTCCTTACAATCTATCAAAAAGAAATTTATTTAGGGGGCGAACCGCGATACTGTATTACATCTTACGTGTATGACACATTCATTGTAAGCATTATAATACGAAGAAAACGTTTACTTCCATCTTCGTCTACTACGGGCGTAGAATCACTGCAAGATATTTAATTGTCCAGTGTTTGTTGCGTAAACCATCCCTTGGCCCGGCTGCGGCGCCCATCTAATGCAATTTAGACTGAGGTAACTGGAGACCTCCCGGCAGTTTTGAAACAACTCCCGGATAAGCACCATACTTTCTCTGTGACGTTTGATATCCATATCAAACTCGTTTCTCTCCCGAATCCGCCAGTTTTGGATGTGTGGTCTAGAAGTGTTGGCTGTCACATTATTTCGTCTCGGAATACTACTCGTAGAAACGTTATCATCGAGCATCTCGTCGAAGGAATCGTACAATTCCATGGTCGGATCTGTCGACGAAACATTCTTCTCGTCGTCTGACTGCTTCTCCATCAGCTTGTAAATCAGAGCCATTGGAAAAGGCCTGGCAGGTACATGAATCCTGCGTGCCAAACCTACCAAGAGATGTTGTTGTGTGGGCGATATCGAGACAGACACTACCGTTTGATCGATATTGGTCGAATGAATCTTTTCTCCTAGCGTTTCCCACTGTAGGCTGTAAATACCTAAAACAAAACAGCAAACCGTACCCTTAGCTTTAACCCTTTGATAATTTAATATAACCGAGCTACTTTGTTTCCTGTATAAATAATGAAAAAATGACACAACAATGCGCGAAGAAAAGTGATACGTTCGTAGTATTTGTTATACTATTTTAATATAACGCTACCCCTTGTGAAGAAGTTATCGTTTAAAAATATCTTCCTGCAAGATTATTCGTGTGAAAAAGATGCGATACAAAAATAAGAAATTATCCCTTCAAGATAAAAAAAACATTAAATACACGTGCGTTGAGAAAGAATCGTTATTATTTTAAGAACATACATTCACACACACACACACACACACGCGCGCGCGCATGTGTGCGTGTACATATATTTCATCGATAATGGGGATCAATACGCATTCCTTGCTTACCTAACGTGGTCGTAACATTAATACGACCCGATTGTAAAAGCGTCGCTAGTAATTTTCCGTCTGTGGATATATCAATACTAGCATCGTTATGAATCTTACATTCGCGCACCACAACGTTTTTCTCAGCTGAAAAATTATATTAGCATGTATAAACGTACGCAGAAAAAGCGTATAATTATAATAAATCTATATTTGACATATTTTTACTAACAGTCTGTAATATCAGGTATGTCACCATTGGAGAAGTCCCATGCTTGTACACGATAAGTCTGAATTTCGAACGCTGGGTTGAATGGTATACCCATAGGTATATGTTCTAAAGAAATTATTTGATTTTTATATCTTTACACGAATTACATATACATGTATACTCAAAAATAAGTTCAGTCATTAAACAATATTATATAAAGAGTGATCGGTTATTAATAATAATATATGATGCATGAATATAACGTGTGAGATTTTGTTTTGAGAAAATCGATTTTAAAAGTCGCAACGTTAATAATGTAACTTTATTTTGAAATTTACATAATTTGCACTAGTTTAACGTTATCAAAATAAAAATTTAACATTTCAAAAACAATAGAAAGCATTTAAGATTGTTAAACAATTATCATTGATCTTATTCATAAAGTAAGATAATAAATTTGTATTTTTTTATAAACTAAATATTATATTTTTGTTTATACTTTAATAGCTACTGTCCAAACGAATTAATCAATTTTTTATTAGTATTGCTTTCTTTTTGAATGTACCACCAATAAGAGATCATTCTATATCATGATACATACATCTGTAAACTTTGAAAAAAAAATATACCAAAGTCCCAATAGTAATCGTTTTCATCATTTCCTGGATCCTGTCCTCCACCTCCTCCTCCTGCTCCTCCTCCTCCTCCTCCTCCTCCTCCTCCTTCACCTCCGCCTCCGCCTCCACCTCCTGCTCCTGCTCCTGCTCCTGCTCCTGCTCCTGCTCCTGCTCCTCCTACTCCTACTCCTACTCCTCCTTCTCCTCCTGCTCCTGCTCCTCCTGCTCCTCCCCCTCCTGTTCCACCACTTCCTCCTGCACCTCTTCCTCCACTTCTTCCTCCTCCTCCTCCACCATCATCACCACCACTACCACCATTACCGGAATTAGCAGCACTTCCAATTCGTACATTATGCACTAATCCTGAATTATTTACGAATTCAGTGTAACGAGGTATCCAAGTGGGACCAACCCGATTCCGCCACAACGTTAAGAACGTTGGAGTCAATACCTGATATAAAAGTTAATAATGATTAAAAAGCTTGTTTAGTTTTTCAAAGAAGCGAGGATTGTATCTATCATTTATCAAAAAACCGACAAAATAACAATTCATAAATTAATGTCAAAAATGATTTGTGGATCATAAATTTTTGTAAAAATTAAGTTATCAAAAATACACGGAATTATAATTACTCGTCAAGTAACGCTTGGGTTCAAAATTGCAAATGCTATAAAATTTATACTATACCCGAGTTCTATTATTATTTGTTTGTCCAGCCCAACTTGGTCCTGGCTGATCTGTGGACTCGTTTGTCCGATCGTTGTTTCTGTTATCAGTATTATGGAGAATATTATTAATCAAATACGGCGGAGGCGTATGCGGCGGAGTCGGCGGCGTATTTTGCCTTCTTCGTGGATTACTAGACAGATTATCTAGGTCATTCACGGGCACGTTGTTTACCTGTAGCTCGGGAACGTTAAATTCTCGTCGGAGAGACGTGCCCTCTCTACTTTGAGGGTATCTACGATTGTTATTCGAGTCGGAGTTACCATATCTGTGTAAGTGCAAAGGACGCTCGAGCAATGACGTGCATGCACCCCGTGCGTATTGACGAGTCCAACGAGGTCGCTGATGCGATGATCTGGCGCTTTGTTCATCTCCCGATGAAGTATAAACAAGGCAATTTCTCCAGCTCTCGTTGGAATGTGTAGTAGAGTCGGTCTCCTGCTGATCCCTTGACTCGTTGATGCGTCTGACCGCTGGCTCGGATACCGTAGCGTTTCTGTAACTCCGCCGATAGCTCTCATTTGAATTTCGCGACTCATTTACAGCGTCCATCGTGCGATTCTCAACTCCTACCCTGGTCTCGCTACGGTCATCGTTGTCGATTGAACTGCTGCTTTGGATTCTTTCCACAATACTCTGCACTTCCGCCGACAGAGCGTTTTCAGAATTTGACTGTCGATTATCTTCGTTTTGCGTATTATCATCATAATTGTTATCATCGCCGTTATCGCTAGATCTAGCTGCTGCTGGATTGTTGGCTTGATTTCCGGAAAAGCCATTAATTATTTGAATTGCTCGTCGATGGCAAGATAGCCGTTTTAATCGTCGCGCCATAACACGGTAACGTATATTATTCCCATGTACTGAAAGGAGCTCCTCCGCACTTGGCATTTCAGCGCGGTTTCTCGGTAACCTTTCTCTATCTGCGTTTCGTCTTGGTACATTATCGCTAGCACGACGCGGACTTTCCGTCTGCAGACTATTGTCAACACTGTTACTATTGCGCGTGTCGCCCCTGTTTTGGTTGTTAACTGATAAATCGGAAGGAAAAGGTCCATATTGACTAGATTCCAACTCTCGCCTTGTTATTACTAGTTGCGCCAGCAATAAATCTGTCAGCTCAAGTGCCAGATGTAACAATACATACAGCTCTGAGGAAAAAAATATAAATTGATATAAATCAATAATCCAAGAGATGCATAATCTAGAGAACGTGAAAAAAAAACAGAATTATTTCATAATTTTACGTGTGATAAAATTAAATTTGAAAATTTCAGATATTCTTTTACTTTATACTCTCAAAAACACACGACATTAACTTTCTAGTTTTTAAAATTAATAATCTTTTGTGTGTGTGTGTGTGTGTGTGTGTGTGTGTGTGTGTGTGTGTGTGCGCGCGTGTGTGTGTGTAAAAACAAAACTTTATATAAAAGTTTTACCTTTTACATTTTGGGTTTATTTTTTTCGTATAGAGAATATTATCTTTCAAATTATATTACATTTCATTAATTTACATAATAAACAGTAAACTTACTATACATTTGCTCATAGAGAACATTGCTTTGGGAACCGTTTCCTGATCTCGTTACTTCGAAGAATTGGATCAAAGATCGTACCATCAAACCGAGAACTTGTCTGAAATAATATTAATTGGAATGTATCCGCTATTATAACACACAACAGTTTCTGAACATGACATGTATACTTGCTCGATATTTAATGTCATTATATTTTAATATTAATATATTGTGGCACAATTACGCGATGTCGTTGTGCCTACCTAGCTCTCAATCTTGTAGCTTCACGAATCTCTTCCATTTCCCGATTATCGTTGTCTCTGCTGGTTTCAGATTGGCGATTATTACCATTCAACCTTCTGCTGCTGTTTCGAGCCAAGGCCCTCTGCTGTCGAACCAGCAACTCCAGTCGTAGGATCATCTTTTGCAGATATTCAGACGTATTCGAACCTCGCGTTCTGTCCCGAATATCTATGTCTACATCTAAACCGTCGTTATTACTGTTGCCATTGCCATTATTCTGAGAACCGTTTCTGCGTAAGTACCATGGTCTTCTAATATGCTCGCAATGACGAAACGGATTATTGGCGGACAGAGACCTAAGGCGTTGCATAAAACGATGCGACCTCAGAGATCTATTTATTCTATATCTTAGTGACATATTTAAATGATTTCTGAAAAACGAAATATTTTAAACAAAATTACAATTGATTTAGAGAAACGATATATAGTGTGTTTAATTATGTAAATTATGTGCAATATATGATATTTCTTCAAATGATAAATTCATGAAAAGATTTTTTCAAATAAAAGTTACTTTTAAGTGATCTAAATATAAGTCTGAAATAATTTTTATTTTTATATCTTTATTAGTTAAAAGTAAAAATTATTTAATATTTTTAAAACAAAACTGTTTTTAAAAAAATATATACATATACATAAATACCGAAAAGATATCCTTTCATGTCTATCACGCAGTCTATTAAGTCTGTCAATGGTAGACTGTTTAAGTGATGATGTAAAAATCGTGGTACGAGCTGAAGTCCCAGGTTGATTTGTTGGATATGCCATAGGAGGATCAGAATTAATATTATTATCGACATTATTATCGTTATTGTTACCGGTTGCGAAGTAATCAATATTCGTATCCGATGACTGGGTCGATCTGCTGGGACCAGCACGATCGAGACTGTTGACGAAACTAGAGATGCTCGGTAACGGTTCCGATTCGGTTGTGGTTATTGCGGTAACTGCTGGCAGATTCGAGTTAGCCCCGATATTTGACACGACACTGGACATACTAGGCAACTGCACATCGTCATCGGTCGTCAAACTGGAATACGTGTGATCGTTCATCGCCCGCGTGTCGGTGACACGTGAATCACAATTCTGACAGCGCGAGGTCAGCCGCGCGTACAAGCCGTCTAGCATCTCGTTCAGTTTGAGACACTGCATTCGCCGTAGCTCGGCATCGCTCGGCAACAGGTTCGAGAGACTTATATTGGTACTTTCTTCAATATTACGAGTGCTAGATGTCGACTCGTCCTCGTGATTTCTTTCGAGACCAGTCACTCCGCTCGACGTCGACGGCTGACTTTGATCGTACGATCTTGTATTACGATCGCCCTCGCTACTTTCTCTCTGATAGTTTTCCAGAAGAGCTTTCTTGAAATTTCTCGCCGATTCATTAGGCGAGCTCGCAGCCGACGTTGATGGACCGGGATTGCTGGCAGTGTTGTCTCGTTGTGTCTCTGTTTGATCGTCGTTCTGCCTCTCTACACGAACCGTTACATGTAATGATCGTATCTGTCGTTGCAGATCTTCCCACATTTTGCGCACTTGACACAGCTGAACTATTTCCAAACGTGCTCTGTTAATGAATTGAAAAAATTACCTTTAATTGGCACAGAAATCAAAAAAAGCAATAAAAAGAACGGAACTCATTTTCTAATATTGCTTTAACAATAATAAACTTAAAAAATATACAATTTACCTAATCTCATATATATTTAATTATATAATTTTTTTAATTACAATATTTTTTGTCTCAATGCTGTCATATATTAAATCTATCAAAACTTTAATCAAAAAATTCCATCTTCATTAATTATGCTATAAAATTACGTTCAAAATACAATTTAGATTATTTAAGTGATTTATATAATAACCGTTACATAAAATTCTACAATACGCTGAGGCGTCGTTAATTCGTATCGTTAACTTACCGGCACAAACGATGCATGTTATCGATATGACGACTGAGCAATTGAATTCCTTGCCGAACTCCTAATGAACTCTCTCTTGGATCTATATTATCAGCACCGAGCATTATCGGATCTATAACGTAGTCAAGATCCGGATCATCTGCATTTCGTTGGTCCTGATTCTGTTGTTGTTGTTGTCGTTGTTGTTGTTGTCGTTGTTGTTGATGTTGCTGCTGTTGTTGTTGTTGTTGTTGTTGTTGTTGTTGTTGTTGTTGTTGTTGTTGCTGCTGCTGCTGCTGCTGCTGCTGCTGCTGTTGTTGCCTGTCGCTCACTGTCGATCCGTCCTCGCGGTTAGTTACACTGGCGATTCTCGTTGCAACAGGATCATTAACCATTCTCGACAATTCCGCGAATCCTGCTAATGTCGTATTCGTTGAGTTTGAATCAGACGTCTGCGATTGAAGCGGAGTACTGTCAGAGTTGCTGGTAGTGTGCGTTTGATTTTGTTCTATTCTTTGGGATTGGTTTTCTCGTAAACTTCTAAACGGGAACAATGGCGGTCGTTCGTAACGAGTAGGATTAGCAGACACGGGCGATAATTGGTTCCTCTGTTCTCTGTGTCTATCATTGATATTTTGATCTACATCCTCCGAAAAAGGTCTCGATAGAGATTGCTCATTTGGTGAATCGTTAGGGTATTCTGAATTCCTACTGGAAGTATCCAGTCGTATCCATCGACTAGTCCATCGACGAGAACTCGAGTTGGTATTGGAACTTGTGTCGTCCAAATTTGAATCAGAGTTACTATTCTCTTCGAGCAACCAATATCCATTCTCCGAGTCGTCTAATAATACTTGTTGAGTAGTATTATTGTTTTCCATCCGATCTGCGTGCAAATTTCGAAGAATTTGCAGAACATCTATCACTCTCCTGAGTAAGGGTGAATTTCTAAATGTTAAAAATTTCAAATATATGACATCTTCAAAAATGTACATAAAATGTACGATAAAAAAAAATCTGAACAAAATGTAAAAATTAAAATTAAGAAAGATTGAATAAATTACGCTTACCCTTGCCTGCGATTGAGTTCTTGGGATCTCGTTTCTTGCGCATTTCGCGTAGTCCTTGATGTCCTGTTACCTTGACCATTATCTTCGTTCGATTCGTTATTTAAATTATCAGGTAAGTTATTTCTACCTATTTCATCCAATCTGGGAGAATTAGTTGGCATTTCTTGATTTTGTGAGCTGCTGCTTGCTCGTTGCGCGACGGACTTGGGTACGTTTGGTTGAAACGCTGAGTGAGTTGAAACTGTAAAATTAGATGCGCTATTACGGGATGTTGATGCTCGCGAATAGCCTTCGTCGCTCGAAGATGAGCTATCTTCTAGAATAACAAACAAATTTACGATCAATAATATTAATCTTATTTCTCTATTCTATTTAGATGTAGTTTTTCTCAAGTAGAAATATTACCAATGTAAGATAACGGCATCGGTACGGAAAACTCAATAGGACCTAATTTCCGCTTTCGTTGCCTCGGCGGTTCATCCTCCGTGTTCAAATCATTGAATCGTCTTCTTGTTGCTCTTCCAGTATTTCTTGAAGAAGTACTAGCGTTTTCAGTATTGTTGGCATTGGCCCATGAAGTGCCACGCTCTTCATTCTCATCGACGTAACTTGTACTAGGGAATACATTGGATTCTAAATCGCGTAATCTTGAAGACAACATTGATGGCATAGAACTAGTGCTGGGCATTTGTCCATCATTTGATGTAAGAGTTCTCCATTCGGCATTACTAAAATTCATCTGCGAAGAATCGGTCGCGATATGCCGATTACGTGGCAGAATACCGTACATCGTGAATTCGTCCCGCAACCGTTCGATTCTAGAACTTGTATTAGTAAACTGTGCCTCCATATTATTAAGTGCTTCAATCTCATCATTCAGAGCGTTTCGAAGCAGCTGAAGGCGAGAGTTACGATTGTTAGAATGCTCAAATAAAGTCGTGGTCTGCCGCTGCAATCTCTCTCGCAATTTCTGCAATCGCACCAAGCACGAGCTATTATTTTCGGCGGCGGCATTCAAAGCCTCTCTCAAATTTTGAAGAGTGGTCCCGATCTCTTCTTGCTCGGAACGTTCCATCAATAATCGTTGACATCGTTGCAACCTCTCCAGATTCGTATTGTTTGCTCGCGCGCTGGAATTCAATTCATTCCTTAATCTTCGTATAGATAATTCAGTCGCTGTTGATTCGTTTCTACTACTAGATTCTTCGAAATTAGAGGACGATGCTTCTGGCATATCCATAGGGTCAGTGCCACGATCGATCTTCAAAGAAAATCAATATACATTTGATAAAAGAAAAAATTCTGACAGAATTCCGAATAATAACGTAGATATATAGCTCACCGTATCTCTATTTCTGGAAACGTCAAAGTAACGTCTTACGAGCGTCACGTATTGATCGACGAGATCTCTGTAGCATAAATTTATTCTCCTTTCCGGATCTTGAGAATTGTTCCCGCGTAATCTTTCGTCCACGCCAACCCACACGTTATTTAATCGTTCATACAACTCATCCCTGGGATGAGAGTCATTTATTGTGCTAGATTCTCGATCGCGGCTCCTCAGCGAGCTCGGCAAATCGTCATCGTTACTGTCATCCGCTGATCTATTATCAACATTGTCCGTGTTTCCTAGATTACCAGTCGGACGAGGTGGATTTCTCGTAATGCTTGGAGATGTAGCTTCTCTAGTTTGATTCAGTTCTACATCGTAAGGTATAAAACTATTACGACAAATTTCAATTGTCGAAAGTATTGAATGAAGTTATATTAGCACACAGAATCTGTAATGCCACGGTAGAAGATATTATACCTTCAGATAAATTTCGTCGTCGCTGAAACCGCGCTTCTTGCCGAGTACTGTTCCTAAATTGTTGATTGGCGAATCGCGAGAAACTGGACATTTCGTGGCCTCTGCGCATAAACAGATATGCACTGAAAGAATTTCTATTCAAATTTCGCAAACTCTCCGACAAATTTTGATGAATTTTGCATTGTATGGAATAAATACCGAGAAGTTCTATCTGCAGTATTACCGTCCGCCGATCCTCTTCCATAAAAAGAGCCATGATTCCACAAGTGAAAAGGTGAAAGTTCGATATCCGGGAAATTTTCTCGTGGCTGATATCTAAAATTCCTAATGTTTTCGGGATTGGTTACAATGCAAACAGAATTATTTAAAATATATTAACGCATATATTAAAGTATGAATAACAAAATTAAGTCGACGAAAAGAAATACAATTAAAAATTGTAACATTCAATTTTATTTGATTGGAAAAATAATTAAAAATAAATTGGAAATTATTACTAACAAATTTATAATAAATATTTTATTGTTCAGTTCATATATTTCAAAAAATTCAATTTTTTAAATTAACTGCGAAAGATATTCAGATATTAGTGATAAACATATCTGTATCTAAAATTTATTTCTACACATAATATGTACACCATTGCTTCTACTCACATCAAACTAGTTCTAAGTAACTGTCCCACGGGAGCCCGATCCCATTGTGATTGTACTTGCGGCGTATTCGCGATGCCCGTGATTAATTTTCTTCCTAAACTGTCAAAAGCTACATATCTGAAATTTTTTCAAAAAAGTTTAAAAAAAATAGTTTTTATAATATTTTTTCTCTTGTATCATAATCTATAATGCAATTTGTTTTTTAAACATACCTCACTTTTTCCTTGTCAGTCTTTGTAGCAGTTACGGCGAAAGGTTGAGACTTACTCCAGTCCCAGAAATGAATTTCATTATATGTGGCTATAACTAACAATCTTTCAAAGGGATGAAACGCGAGCGAAGCGATAACGGTATGGCTATCGGCATTCCAAATTTCGCTACCACCCTACGTGAACAAATTTGCATTGGAGTCATTAAATGCTGTCATTTAATACTGAAATAAATTATATATATCTGAAGACACGATAGTGTCTCGGCGCTAAACTATAGCGCGAGACACGGATGTGCTCCTTAAATACTCACACTTAAATCCCACACGCGAACTTGACCTCCTAGACAGCCAGATGCTAAGATCTGACTGGAGGACGGGTGAAAAGCTATGCACCAAGGAGTACGTGGATGTCCGGACAAGGTTCTAATATTCTTTCCCGTCGTAATTTCTGTGATATAAACATTGTGATTCCCATGTGTAGAAGCTACCATGGTCCTGAAATTGTCATTTGATAATTTCCTCTAATTTCCTTCATTGCATTATATGTTATATAATAAAAGCTAGCTATTACACACATGTTACTTCCTTCTTTTTTTAATTATCAGTATTATCTTCTGATATAATAGAAAACAAATTATATTTTGCTCATTGTATCTTACCCATCGGGACTGAAAACCATTAGGAAAGTGGCTCTAGGAACACCAGGTAATTCACATTTCTGCAAATAAACATGTAATACTTAATATCTCACTGTAATATACATATGTAGCAATAAATATATCATTATTAATTTAGCCATTAGAAATTGATAAAGTTGGAGAACGAAAGTATTGTTGTAAAAGACCATTTTATGAGACAAGATTTATTACTGTACTATATGTACTTCACAAATTAGAGATATAGACAAAGTAAACAGGACTTAGTTATACAAGTACACAACTTGTATTATATAAAGTTTATTCTTCACTGTTGCATTAGACTACACTAGAACTTTCACTTTTACTTTTGTCAAATATCCTATGTCTATTTCACTTTAAGTATCAAAAAATGTATAATAATTCAGCTTTAAAAAAAATACCTATCAGTTAATCATGTATGTAAATACATACCAATTCCTTGTGGTCCCTCAGCACAAAGTTGGCCTCAGCTATCGGCTCCAATTCACGCGTGCTGGTCTTATGCGTTGTGTGAAATCCAAAATCTCTTAGCATTAAATTACGCAGTATATTACGCGACTTGCTGCGGTGCAGCAACTCTGGTCTTTTCTTGACTTTCCCCATTTGGTTGAATGTCTGCAACGTTTCTAAAATAAGTTGTAAAATATTTTATAACGTACATAAACACAGTTTTACATAAAAATATTATATTTAAGAAAATAAAAGCACTTTTCTGATATACTGATATATAATGATTGTTTTAAAGATAAATTGAAATATCTTTTGTTAGCAACAACTCCAGTATTACTTGCATTGTTTTATTATAGTTATCATTATGTGTCTTTCTCCATTTTTTCATTCTTTCCTTTCAATATATTTTATTATATTTCTGGTTATACTTTTATTAAGAATTTTTTTCAGTTTCTATGCTTTGAAATATATAACACATACATGTGTACATTATATATACACACATATATATATAATTATATATGTATATAATGTATATACATAATTTTTAGGTCACAGTTTTTGTAAGTTCAGGAGGATCCAGAACACAGGCAGAAACACTTTTGATCTCGATTAACAACACAGTTCTACTGCTATATAATTAGTATTAGAATAAAAATATATGTTACATTGTTAAGGTAGGTTAAGCCGAAAAGCGCCCATACTAATCCCAACAAGAATCTCGATGAAGAGCAGCGCGATTAAGCGATGGATTAACGAACGTAGCCTTCGTATTCCGATATTCTGACTAGCGTCAGCGATTTCCTTACGGCAGCTCACGGAGTCGATCCACGTCAAGCTAAACTAATTACTCATCCGCTGGGTGGCCAGGATTGCCCGGAAATAGCGATTAGCGACGTTGGCAAGCTGAGACGAATTCGCGTTTCCTCCCTGATAGTCCCCCCTTGTTCTCGACCCCTTTTCGCGTAGACGAAAACTCCGTTTACCTGCGAGAATTATCGTTCCTCCTGGATGATGGACATAGGAGACAAGGATGCGCGTACTCACTCCGCGTACGCGACGAACATAAATTCGCGATCACGTATCCTATCGAAACACATCGTTGTCCTCCATTAACTCGTTCGGGCTATCGTGAGGCACTGCGGAACTTCGAGCTCGTCGGTCACGATGTTTTCGACTGATTAAATTCGTCGTGCATCGCTAGATGACACTAATCTTACGAGTAAGAGGGATGGAGGGGAGAGAATAGAATAAAAATATTTTCTTTGAAAAATAAAGGATACTTCCGATATTTTCTAATTTATTCGACAATTAATTTCTATTACTTTTGTAACTGGAGTGTAATTTTTATTGGCTTATGTATTTAACTTTTACTTTTTAAATTAAATTTGTCAAACGTGACTTAAATATACAATATATAAATAAAAGAGCAAAAAAGCTGGATGTCTCGTTAGCGAGTCATATATTTAAAAATTCCTCAAATTAACATAAATAAATATAAACGTTTCGGCCAAGATGTGGCCATCTTCAGTATGTAAAATAATTAAATAAGTAAAATAATGAAGTCACAACAAAATTAGTTACATAAATAAACGCAGAACGTAAAATAACCGATTTTCCAGCAAGAGTTGAGCCAATGTCGATCAATTAATTCGTCAAGTTAATCCTCATGTATTTGGTCCAATTAAGATTGTACTTTTTAAATTGCAAATATTTAATGAATGTATATCAGGAGTTTTTCATCAAAGAAATAAATAAAATTTGAAAGAGCATTTATTCATTGTAATATAATAATATAATATGTCTTATTAAGCTTCCATTTCTGCATAACAGTATATACTTCATATATTATATAAATTTCTCTTCGATATCTCATTATTAAATTCTTATATAATTTCTTATATACAATTCAGTAAAATAATTTTTTTATAGAAATATATCTTCTGCCCTTTCTCTATAAAATAACATGTATATATACAATTGAATTGCTTGACTAGTTAATTTAAGCTAAGACACGATTGCTGAAAGCACAGACCCTATTCTCTCGGACATTTACATGCTCTCCGCGAGACGAATCGAGATGCTTTGCCCTTCCGCTGCAACTTAATGATCCAATATACGTAGATTACCCGATACAATTTTATTTTCTAAAACAGTTCCAGAAGGCAGATCTATGCGTTCTCCGTGATTGGCGATTATAATGACGGTGCCTTTCAGCGTTACCCCTTTTCCAAAGGTAACATCACCTGACACCGTCAAATGATCTAACTCGAGAAGATCCGGTATTGTCGGAAATCTAGTTAGAAACTCTTTTACCTGTAAAAAAAAGAAAAGGGACTGATAAAACTGGATATTACTATATATATGATGAAGTTAAAGATAAAACTCGTATAAATTAGCAAAAATTGGAATAAGAATCAATCCTACTGACTTTTGAAAAATGATTATCTCCCAATTTGATGAGAGGCGTTGTGGGGAACATCCTTTGAGGACTCATTACGAGAGATCCGTTACGTAGCGTGTATAAATTACTCATTACAAGCATTAAATCAGAAGTCTTTTTCACCGGCAAGAATCTACTGCGCGGCACATTTATACCTGTAGCAAATAAACATTTTTAATTAAATGTAATTGTATATAGAGAATCGATTTAAAATAAAGCAAGATTTCTTAAGATAAAGAATTCTAGAAATTAAAGAATAAAAAATAATTTTGTTAAACCAGAGAAGCGTTATCTCTTTCAGCACTTACCAATACTTCCTTCGAATGATTTCATAGCAGCTCCTACAGCCGTTTCAAGTTGTATAATATTTAGACCATTGGTAAAAGTTTTATTGTTTACAATTATCTCCATATTCAACGCTTTCTGCTCAAGTACTCTCTCAATGGCTATTTAAGAAGCAACATATATTAAACACAAGTTTAATATTTACTGTAGGGCATACATAACATAATTGTACAACAATCTTAAATACACATACCATTAAGTTTGATCCAGAGGTTGTTGGTGTTGAAATACTTAAATGTCTTAACAGATTTAAAGTCATCGATATGATCCTTGGGGACTTGAGCTATTTCAAGGAGACGAAGTTTATCCTCGTATTTTATAAGCGTACCACCCTATAAATTGTGTAAAATAAAATATATAATTAGAATTTCTCTCACGCTATTCTAGACGAATTGCATAGTTCTCACGAAATGCACCTTAACGTCCGCTCGCGTTTTGTCAGTTACTTCCATGACAAATTCAAGAGGTGGTTCCGGACTTTTACTAAGCAACGACTTCAAGATTTTTATGTCTACCGTGGCACCAAGATTATCTATGTTAGAAATAAAACAATATTCGCGACCCTGCAAAAAATCCGAATTTTAAAAAAATTGATTATCGTATCATTATTTACATGGACGAGAAAAAAGCAATTTTATTACCTCACGAATGAATTTTTTGAGCAGACCAGAATTCAGGAAACTTTCGTAGAAGTCTCCGTGACCGGGTGGATACCACCTGTTAACAAATTATGTATTCTTTTTTCGTGAACGAGTGTTAAAATAATGTTAACAGTGATTTTATGAAAATCGTTCTTACGCTTCTATGTCCTCATCGATTTGGCAGTGCTTAGCGATCGGAAGGAGGGAATCCCTGTTTATGCGAGGATAACAACTCTGATTAAAAGTATAAATGTCTATATCAATTCCTTTATATTTTCTAATTATGCGTTGCGTATCGTCGTCTGTGTTGAACGAATTCATCAGTATGAGTGGCACGTTAGCATTATACGTTTTATTTAGATGCTGTTACAATAGAAATACATACAATTATTATACATTATATTATAATCTTAAAACTAATAGTAATTACGTAAATGATAAGAATAAACTAAGTTATAATTTGTCGTGATACCTCAATCTGCTGAACGGTGAGATCAAGAAACGTGAGTCCATTTCGTACAGCAATAACGGACTTTGGTCCGTGACATCCCATGCTCGTTCCAAGACCACCGTTTAGCTTGACGACAACCAACTTATCCAGCAGTTCCTTCACCTCGTTCGTCTCTGGTGATGGCAAGGAGTTGTAATTCTTGACCTGTGAAAAAAACATAATTCGAAATTATAAAATTAATTAAATTTCTATATTATTTATTAATAGAATTCATCAATTAAAGCACTAATAAGATACAGAACGTTTTTAGAAGATGATTTCATAGAATCTCCATAGATCATCATAATAATTTCGGTTCTCAACTCACTAATAATTGATAATTATCAATACCGAGATGTTAATTAAAATGAACTGAAAAGTATCCACACAAAGTGTCATTTAAATTTTAAAGGAAAAAAAAAGAGGAGGCACCACGGAAATCTCCTCGTAATCTTTCTGTTTCTGCACGATCGGATTTCACTTACCGCATCTTCGGGTAGCTTCTGAATATGGTCCCATTCTAAGGACGGGCCCTCCTCCTGCAGGAATCGCTCGAAAAGATGTTGGAATCCATCGAACTGCCGACTGAATATCGTCGTTTTGTTATCGCGAGCGGTTGCCTGCAGCTTCTCAAGCTCACGTTGCAGCTCATCCCGCGCATCTCTCTTCGTACGCTCGCGGAATGCCTGTGTATCTGAAGAGCTGCGTTGGTGACCACGGATCTGTGGAGTTTCCTCCGTGTTATAGTTAGACCGAGACTTTTTTTTTACCTATCCTTTTCGCGAAGTCCTCCCAATCCGCTCCGGTGAGCCGTTCGTCGCAATTCGAGGGCGAAATGTTACGCATGATGACTTTTCGAGATCGCGGCCGTATAAATCGACAAAAAAAAAATACAAGAGAAAAATAGGAAAAATAAATAAATCGTGTATACGCGTGCGATGACTCGGAATGTGTCTGACCGCTTTCTCAAAAAGTTTCTTGTTAAAATCTCCCTCGTCGGGACAAAATTCTCATGTAGAAACGCAATCTTGTAAAAATCGACCGCAATCTGTAGCAATCAACAAGCGTCGCTAACGAGGACTGTTTTTTCTTTTTTTCTTCCTGTTTTTTTTTTCTTTCATATCCGATAAATTATCGTGAATCGTCGTCATTGTCTTCTCGAAAAACGCGCGAAAGCAATCGCGTCGTTCGTGTCCGGGAAGGTCTCTCAAAAGGCAAATGAATAGATAGCGAATGCAAAAGAAAGTAAAATAAATGGATGCAATGCGATAACGTAAATCCACGGAAAATACCATTTCTGAAAATCGGCGATTAAATTTTAATGCTACATATATTTCCCTCGCATTTTAGAAAAGAGAAAAAAAAATTCCGTTTTTGGTTCATTTTTTTTCCAATTAAAATGATATCTCACAATTTGTCTTTTATTATCTACGTTGCAGATTACGGCTAGATACGGAAGCGTGTATATACATTTGTATAATTATTTGTATGTGAGACTAAAAAAGGAAAAAAAAAAGAAAACATGCTAAATATCCTTTTTCTAATTCTTAGATGCAGAAAAAGGCAAAAATTAAGTAAGTTAATCTCTATATTTATTTTTCTAGTGTAGAATAGCTTTAATCTCGGTTCAACTTGTTTATCTTTTTCTAGTCATAAAAATGAGATAGAGTAATTTTAACCAGTTATATGCTTCCTAATTGTATATTGATAAAGAGTAAGTTTAACCAAGATTAAAATTAATTTACATTAGCAGACATAAAAAAAGAAATTTTAAACTGATTGACATGTAGAAGACAATAAGACAATGAAATTATTAAAAAAAACCGATATACGGCAATAAAAAATTAGAAAAAACCGTTTTTTCTCAAAGTTTCCGTGAATTTTTTTCGTCTAAGAACATTAAGCCTGATCCAATGTCGCGATCGCGTTGATCTCGCCTGCGAGACGATAATTTGAGTTCAAATTGACCCGGAGATTCTCAGTTTACTGCCGAAAAAAAAAAAGAATAAAAAGACTAAACGGAACGAGCGATATTTCGCGATATTTCATTTAATTTGATTTACAGTTGAGGTAATATATTCTCAGATCAGATAGGATTGGCATAAGCTGATATTTATAGCCGGATCTTATATAATACTTAAGACCGTTTTAAGTATAGTCTAAGATGTCATGAATAGATCAAAGATTAGCATCTTGTCTTAAGACATTATTTGTGACTTATTTTAGTATAAGACGGACTGTAA